TTGGAACACTTGATTTCGACCTAGACCTGGGTCCTTTGTTGCCCTACTTTACTAAGCCTTAGCCAAACATATCGTATTTTGGCAATAATATCAACCATACTCATCAGATGTGTTTTTTGGTGTCGATCGCAGAGAACAAGGTACTCTGCTAAGTCTCGCAAGCATCTGCTCTAATTGACCAGCATCGGGCGTGACTGACTGTATAGGCCGGGGTACCGGGGTATTGGGAGGGTCTTTATACTGAGGCGCAGGCTCCGTGGCCTGGTCACCCGGAGCGTTAGGAGAACGAGAAGAAGATGGACATAGAATATCGCTTTGCGAGTGTGCCATGTCAAGAGACCGAAGGGACATGACTATGATACAAGGTGAACGAGAGAAGAATCAAGCTAGAATTTGATTCTGTTAACGAAAGAAGTTATCATAAGTGTCCGAGGAGATCAGCTCTTTATGTTTCCGTCTCACGGATCATTTTACGGACAAGTATACCCTATATAATATGGAGCGGGTGAAATAAAAGTGCCTCGATCTTGATTTCCTAATTCCAGACCAGCTGGCAAATCTTATAAGGTCTATCAAACTATGTACGCGTTTCCCCCCTCGTTCTTGAACCATATTTTCTATCTGTGTGACCAGCACTTTAGGCTATATATGTATCGGTATCCACCGAAGTTGACGGAGCTTGCAGAAAAAGCAAAGTCTTTTGTCTATCACAGTGGTTGCTGAGGAAGGTCGGGGTTGGACAGCAGAGTCGAACGGTGTTACCCCCACTCAGGGGCCGATCTACTGTGTGTTGTCCATTGCCGTCGCAGAATTGACCGAAAGGAAGTATATAGGGGAATAGCACTGATAATTGGCCAAACGAACCGGTTTATTTGATCAATTGACCTCAGCATGTTCGTTGATGATGGGGTGTAGGCATGTACCTAAGTAGTAGTCTCCCGAGGTCAAGATTCGGGTTCCATATAGCAAGGAATGAATACAAGTTTCACTGAATAGGTAGGGAGATACCCCCGGTATTAACCAGAGAAGCCCTGCAGGGACAGGATCACTAATCATTTTCAATAACAATGAACAAATGTAACAGGTGTGATGAAATCCGAGCCAGTCAAATGTTGATTAGGTAAACCGCGGGATGAGTCCACGAACCTCCCAACATATCAAACGGGTCACGACACCGTCCACAGCCAAGGGACCGCAAGCTTCATTTCAACCCAAGAATTTAGTGGGGATTATCTAGAATTATCCACCGACAAGGAGAACCTGCAGCGACCGGACCCTACCATTAACCCCAACCCGCGACCCCAAACCAACCTCACCACCATCATGAGCTTCCTCTCCCGCGTGGTCACTTTCTTCGGCCTCGTCCTGATAGCTCACGCGTAAGTTCCCCAATCCATCCGCTCACCAACCATATTTCCTGAGCAAAAGTTAACCCCCTCTGAAGAGGATACTCGGCCCACGAACACACTGTCCTTTACAGCAACCGCACATCCACTGCCCTCCCACAAGACATCATCATCGAAACCCTCGTCTCCGTACTAATTGTTTCAATCGGACTGGTCCTAAGCGCGCAGAAATTGAAGCCGATTAGCTGGCGCGAATGGGCGGGCGAGATTGAACGGGATGGCGGAGCGCGCAACCCGTACCTGAGTCTGGAGGAGCGTTATGGATTCTGGGATATTCGGGTGAGTTTGGATCTACTGGATGTGTGTCTTGCTGGAACTACATCTGCATTTTGGATTTATTGGAGATATGCATTACGTCGATCATTGGGGTTGGTCCAGGAATATCAGAAGCTAATATCTGGAAATATAGGCTAAGCGAAAGGAGTTTGCGGACTGGGTTCGCGGTCAGGACGTGTCGATCAAGGAGTGATGGCTGAATATTGAGTTTGTGATTATGTGCTGCAGTGGGGGGAGCTGTATAATATGCATTGTGGCGAGGGAGTTCAGTTTTCAATTGAGATGCTCAGTTCGTTGCTGCTTATGATATCTGTCTGGAACTGAAGACCGTGTACGGAGTACTCTGTACTGATCTTGGAGAATACTTACGCATACACCGTCGATGCAGGGGTGGCAAACTCGCGTCCTGATGCGATGTACGGAGTGCGGATACTCTAGAGGCGACCGAGAGGTTGCACAGACATACCACCAGTGCGCCCGCCTAGCTGCTTGTGACCTGGGTAAGAGGGATCACTGCCGGGTATAGACGCTTTTGGCGCACGCGATTTGCATTCCTGCGCCACACCGCTGCAGGATGGCGATGGATAGTCTAGACCATTTATCGAAAGTATGTCTCCCAAGTTCTTGTGACTAGGCCGATAAGCAAGGGGGTTGATGTCGCCTGCACGATAGCAAAAGCAAGCGTATTCCAAAGTTGTCGGAGAATGCTTGGCTCAGCGCAGAGAATCACACTGAGATGATCGTTGCAATTCTGTGTCTGGTGATGATAGAAGGCAAGTCGAGGCCGAGGTGAATCGCACATAACGCCCTTTACCTAGTCAGTCTAGATCGTGTACATACATGTAGTACATGTTTATATGATGTAGTCGTACGACCTAATTACACAATATGCACGTCAACAGTACTATATGTACCTGTCCGGCTAGTCAGAATAAAGACTGCAGTGCTCTGGGATCAAGCTTAAACCCCAAGCATAGTACTTCATATAGTATGTCCTCTCTGTACGGAGTACCCTTTGATATTCTAGGAATATATTTTGTCAGAGAAAAAGAAAATATAAATATAGAGTCGGTCCCTACTGGATGGAGTTAACCGAGCCGTTGACTTGTCTCAAAAGGACCCACCTGATGATGATCTGGAGTCGCCCAAAAGTACAAAAGTCGAGAGAATTTGTGTACGGAGCACTCCGTATACAAGGGAGAAACTACAAATTAGATATTAAAACTGGCTACATCCATGGATCCTTATAACAGAATAATTCTATAACTGTGAGTATGTAGTAGAAGAAAAGGGGCGGAGCTGACCTCGGCATCTGATTGCCGAACAAAGTGATGTCTCACTTAAGGGCTGGTTCGACTTCCTTAGCCCCAAGACACGTACGGAGTAGGATCGCGCCATTTTGGGCACAAGAGGGTATTGATTACTTACAGTCCAAGACGTATTAGGGAGAAGATCAAGAACTGAACTGGAAGGGATTCGTATGCCGCCACGCGGTCAAAGGTATGTCCTACCTAATTTAGGTAGGTAATAGGGTTTCCACTGGAAATTAGGAGATTGAGACACATCGTTCCAATATTATATTTCAAACATTTATTGTTGTGTTTGTTATGATTTCTTACCATACGAGGTGGTCAGACGCGGCTAAATTGGCTGTCTGTATCTTGCCATGTCAAAACTGCCAAGTATTCCAAGTATTCCAAGTATTTTCAATTTTGATTTTGGAGAAAAGAAAGACATTCTATATTGGCAGTAAATATATTTGCCATGTAGTGCAGTATCGCAGAAGTGAATATCCCTAATAACTTCAGCTTACCGATTGGTGTGACCCCAGAAATCGACAGAAATAGAACTCCAAGACCTTGCAGATCACAAATTACGCTAGATTCAGACTCTGATCGCTGACTGGAAGAAGGTATCCATTTCAAAAGCCACTCGGTATAAACGTGAGACTTGTTTCCCTGGACAACAGCCTTATAATCCCACCCTCCCCCAGCCTTTTTCTGAGACTTTTATTTCTCTCTCCACATTCCAAGGTTCTACATATTCACCTACAATAATCCATCCATAATCGCTAATCCATCAAAATGCGTTTCTCCATCGTCTTCACTCTCTCGGCCATTGCCCTGGCCAACGCGCAGAGTGTCAGCATTGAGGTAGGTAGAAACAAAATATCATACCACAATGCCAAAAGAACAACATAAGCTAACCTCTCCAATAGACAGTCGACAACCCTGCCACTCAGTACCTGACCCAGACAAACTCCCTCGGCGTGGTGACCGGCCAACCTGATGCCGTTACTACCCAACCCACCGCTGTCACCAGCCAGGCTGCTGCCGTGACCTCGCAGCAGCCCGCCGCCTCCATCCCCGCCGGCCTGACCTCTCCCGTCGCCGGCCCTGGCGCCACTCACACCACTTTGTCCACTGCCTCCAGCAACACTGCCAGCGGCACCGACTCCTCTGCTACTGGCACCGAGACCTCGGACTCCTCCAAGACCACTGGTACCTCCTCTAGCACCAGCTCGTCCTCTGAGTCGTCGTCCTCGTCCGACTCTGCCTCCAGCTCCTCTTCTGATGCTTCGAGCTCGACCTCTACCGGTGGTGCTGCTATTGCCACTGCTGGCCCAGTCGGTCTCGGCATGGTCGCTGGTGCTGCTCTCGTTGCTTTCCTGTAAGCAGATTGAGGGTCTTGTGGCTGGCCAACGGCTATTCCCTGCCTTCTATCGTGATGTGATGTCCAGTTCGGTCTCATTTAGGCGGAGGGGGTTGTGGTCGGTCGGTTATGTTGATCCAGTATTTGGATTAACGGGAATGAGCGACATGAAAATACGAGCGTCGGCTATTCTTTTCCTTTGTGATTTGTTATTTTCTCCCAAGATTTCCTATGGAATTTTTTGTAATGCTTTGTTGGGCAGGACTCGTGTGTTCCACTGCGTTGTACCCGGAGGCGCATGTCCACGGCGTATCTGTTTCCCACTTTTTCTTCTACTTTTGTGACTAACTTAATCCATCCCTGAGTAAATACGAGCCTTAGTTCCATCTGAATGTACTGAGTCTATAGGTCATAACTGTAATTCAGAGCTGTCAGGGCTAAAAAAGTTTCGAGGCATGGCTTGGACTACCATGTGTAATAACCTTGCCATTTCGGTACATTTCAAGTGAGGGAATAACAATAAACATCAAGGCTCCTCACCGCCCAAACCAGGGTGAAATAGTAAAACATGCTCCCAGATAATCTTGGCAACCTCCTCTGGCTCCAGATGAGTCACGTCGACTTCAAGGACTCTTTCCTAGCGCTAAACTCGTAAATCGGTGCTGTCTTGCGAAATGTCCTTAATAGCTCCTCATCCATAAGCTTTGCATTTCTTCACGCTCCGACTGCGTCATACGCCTGATATTCTCATCTTCAGCGCAAGTCAGGACAATAGGAATCAGCAGACATCCTCGAGCCTTAGCCGCCTCCGCATATTCTTCACATACACTACTAGCACCTTCCTCGTTTGCTGTTTGAAAATCAGTGAACACATAGGTTGTATTAAAGGTTGGCTCAGTTGCTAGGGACGTAAATATAGCGGTGCGGAAAGCGCGCCGAAGAGATTGGTACCCTTGCTGTGTGCGGTGGAGGACAGCATCAGCGGGATTGACGAGAAGGTGGTTGTGGATTAGCTTTATATTTGCTGAGAGGGCGAGAAGATGTTTGGCGGCTGTCAATTTGCCAGCGCTGGGAAAGGCATTGATATGGATGAGGGGATGAGAGGTTGTTCCGGGCATGTTGAAAGGGGCGAAAAGAAATGTTGTCAAGTCTATCAAGACGCAAGCCAGAGATAGAGAGAGAGAGAGGGGAGCAGAGAAGGAGGAGAGAAAAGACCAGCTCTCAGAACTAGCCAACAAGGCTACCTGGGATGCAGTTAGTTGATTAGGTGTAACGCTTTTGGCTTTCCAAGGCTCTTTGCTGATAGGGAAATCGTCTCTACAGTGTTGTAGTTATCCATGAATGGGATTGTCAAAAGGATGGAGGATCACGTTGACATTACCTTGATTCCAAGGTCACCCAGTCTTTTACCGGTAGCTAGCCTTGGAACCTTGGAAAATTACCTAAGTAAAGTCTATTCATAACGAACTAATACAAACAGAGCAAAAAAGTCAGTTATAATGTCTTCGTTAAATCCAGGTGCCGTATATTATATAGCATAGGAAAACCTTAAAATATGGCATAAAAGTGGGTATTAAGAGCATGGCCGTGCGATTCGGGGATTCTCTCAAGCTCACGCTTCGATTATCTCACTAGTAATGGTGGCATTACTTGCCGCGGCAGCGTTTCCGGGAGCATGGGCCGTATGTATCTTGTCATTGCAGTTGTTGGGACGTTCGGCAGCCTGTTTAGCTTAGTTGCCTCTACGGATTTGAATCATCCATCGATTTGTGGCAAATCTGCCAGCCGAGCTTATGTGGCTATAAACGGCAGTTATAGCGTGCGGGCTTTTGTGGGAGTTCTTCAAAGAAAGACGAGGAGTTATAGTGTATATCTATATAGATGAGTACTCTACTGAGTGGGTTTAGTAGACAGCCCTGAGCTTATAGAGTAGCCAAATTCTGGATTATAATGTACATGGACAGCTCAGATAGTATCATTAGTACGTGATCCCTCATCCATCCATTTCCCTTCCTTTTGCTGTCTATAATGGCCTGCTTATTCTTGAGCAATAGAAGGTCGTATACATGCGTCTCTCTTCTTCCTCCCCCTGTAAGCCTGACGTACACATGATATAATATAGGTAGCCAGGGGTTTCTTTTTCTCCAAAAGAGGAAATATGGCCCAAATAACCCCTTCACCCTTATGTCTCATGGGATAGCAAGGGCTATAGCAAGGACGTGGTGAAACATAGGGCAATCCCAAAGAGGTAATATTAGTGACGCGCATAGTACGCGACGTGTAGCACGTGACTGACGCGCTACCGAAAAGGTTAGTGTGACCTCCACTCAAAACAAACGGTCGACGAAGTAACCATCTCTTATCATTTGTGATTGTGATTGTTGTGCTCTCACTGGTCCGGATCACTTTCTGAATTTGCATTCTTCTGCAACTTGGTTTATCCTTTATTTTAGTTCCCTACAAACCCATTCAAAGCTCCAGCATGGTAAGTCGTCCCTGTTCAAGTCATTGACACACACTGGCTCCCAAGCGACTAGTATAAGCTCGTGCTCTGTGGCTGACATGATATTCAGCCGTCCAATTCGCGCCGGCTAGCTATCGACCATGCTGCCTTGCATCGCGATCTTCCGCCGTACTACTTGCGGCCGTCAGATGGTGATGACCTGTCACAGCTGACAATACTCCTGACGGGCCCAGCGGGCACACCTTTTTCACAAGGATTATGGGAGCTCCATCTCAAGATACCCGATGACTATCCTAAGAGCCCCCCAAAGGCTACCTTTAAGACGAAGATATGGCACCCGAACATGGAGGAGCTCACTGGAGCTGTCTGTGTAGATACGCTGAAGCGGGATTGGCAGCCCAATCTAACCCTCCGCGATGTACTGGTGGTAAGTCAGACTGTGCTAGCGGAATGAGTTCTACAGATAACTAACAGCATCCCTTCTCTCTATTCAGACAATCTCATGTCTGCTTATCTACCCCAACCCTGACTCTGCCCTCAACGCCTCAGCAGGCGCTCTCATGCAAGAGAACTATGACGCCTTTGCACACCAAGCCAAGCTCATGACCTCAATCCATGCCCCGATCCCACCCAACCTCAAAGATGCAGTGACAGAAGCAAAGGTCCGGGGCGAGGAGGCAGGGACCGCACTCGAGGAGAAAGAAGAAGACCCAACCATTAAACGCCCACGGAAACAAGCCCGCACACGCGCCGCTACGATCAAGAAAACTGCGCGCAACACAACTCCATCTGTAAACCCGTCACAGTCCTCGTATCCTTCACAATCCTCCTCGAATCCTTTCGCCCAACCCTCCCCGCCCATGACAGACAATGTCATGAGTGACAGCGAAAGCGATGACCCCGATAGCGCAAGCAAAGAAAATGACCCAACCCTTTCCCCTTCCCCTGTCCACCTCGCACCCCCAAGTCCCCGTAAAACTGCCTTGGGAAAACGCCCTCTCTCCGTCCTCTCAATTCCTTACCCGGAAGACTCTGATGCAGACATGATGCTCATTGACTCCGACAACGACAACGACAACCCCGCCATGACATCCAATGAACGAAACATCACCGCAAACACAGGTTCCCGTACTTCATCACCGTTACGGAAAACACCCAAGCTCTCCCTACTATGTGGAGGAGTCAACGCCTCTGGTCGTCTCCGCGATGAGATGCCAATATTCGAAGACTTGCCTCAATTGGCCATGCAAGACCCCCTACGCCGGCTGAGTGGGGATGGCAAAGAGAACCGTGGGTCTGCAACCGCGCGCGGCTTGAAAGAGAAGCGTGAATACCACCCCATGAAGACACTCAATGGCTCTACTCCCCTTTCTCCAGCGCATGCTCAGCTATCGACGCCGTCACTATCATCACCATCTATCTCGGGGTCCTCCACTTCTGGAATCTCGAAGAAGAAAGCCATGAGCGGCCCACACAAGCGTCTAGCCGTCAGAATAAAGCCGCGCATTGGCATCCGCCGGCTATGAGAAATCCATCCATTTATCTGGAGCTTGACTTAATATTGATTCTTCTTGCATTGCATTTTCAGATCTCTGATTCGTCTCCATAATTGGGAAAGACCCGGCTTTTGATTCGACTGGAGCTGATTCTTTCGTTTGGTTTTGTCTCTTCTATCTACACCTATTTCACTACCCTTACCCCCGTTAGCGACATTTCTTGATACCCTTGGTGGTCCGTTGGATTCAATCGGACTTACAAGCTGCATGAATCGAGGAGCGAGGAGAATTGGAAGGAGCTGGTTCTATTACATTTTGCATTGGCAATATGGCCAGGCTGGGCAAGGTGGCCCTGGGTTTACAATTTGCTTTGGTTTGTTTGATTTCTTGTTTAGGAGTCTTGAGAATTCATGACATTACATACATCTCTTGATATTTATTGGTTACTGTAATTCTCAAGGGAGCGACACTCCGTATTCTTCCTGAGAGCATTGGGAGTGGCTTCACTGCCTAGTAAGAGCCAAAATGATGAGTCCGCAAGGTACTCAACAATGCGATGCAACTTCATGACCTCTATATTTTAGGTCGAGCCTGCAATATCGTGACACTTTATGACCATATGGCTAGGCTGAAAATTCAAGTCATTAACGAATTTATGACCGGACAGACTTTTACATGGCAGAATGAAACTTGGAGAGTAGGTATAAGTTTGTAATACCATAGATTAATGGAAGGATTCTCTGGGAGTATCGAGCTGCAATGTCCTTCCCGCCAAGTTTCCAAATATTCCCAGAGAATGAGAACAAAGAAAACTAGGCAAGCTCTGGCACTAAGAGATTTGCCCAGGTTTCAACTAAAATGCTCAAGAAAAGAGAAACAACCGCTTTGCACATATAACAGGATAAGTATAAGAATCCCAGAACACGTCGGAAAGATGATGGGTAGAATTTGGGATAATTGGATAAGGCCACCGAGAACAAGCGTAACCAAGGAAAGATATGCCGATGATGATATGTTCGATCCGCGTCGGGATTGGATTATGTCCGTAGGCGTGCACGAGGC